GTTCGCGTTGTGTGCGGGTGTACTAGAATGGCATCGCGTCTAGGGACACTCACCATTGAATCGACACGGGCGACAGACAGCATTCGCGCAAGCAAGATGGATCGCTCGCTCCTTCCTGGACTGCTTCAATTTGTTTTGGTTGTCGTGCTATGCGTGGTCAGCGTCGCCGCCGACGAGTTTGGCGTGTGCTACGACTCGTACGACGCGGCCAACATGGTGACGCATTTCCGCACGATTCGCGAGCGCTTTGGGTCCGTCCGCACGTTTCAGACGGCGGTGGGTGGGCAGAACGCAATCACAGCCGCCGCCAATACAGGATTAAAGATCGCCGCGGGTGTCTGGCTCCTCGGGAATCGGTACCAAATCGATTTGGACGCTGCAATTGCCGGCACTAGAGCCAACCCGAATGCGGTCCAAGTCATCTTTATTGGAAACGAAGAGCTGCACCAGGGGTGGAGTGCCGACACGCTCGCGTCCGTCGTACAAGACGCTAAATCAAAGCTCGCCGCCGCGGGAGTTCATGTTCCCATCGGCATTGCGCAAACCGACGGCGATTTGCTCGCGAATCCGTGGCTCGCCGACCAAGTAGACGTCGTCGGCGCCAACATCCACCCGTTTTTCAGCGAGGGTCCCGACTCGAAGACAGACCCATTTCAGGATTTCAAGCGGCGGTGGCAAGCGATCGTGTCCAAGTTTGGGGACAAAGCCCGCATAACTGAAGTCGGATGGCCCACGAAAGGAGGCTCCTTCCTAGGCCATCCCGCAGATCCTGCCATGTCTGAAAAGCTCTACAACGATGTCAAGGAATGGCAACAGTCAACTAGAGTCGACACGTATTACTTTATGTTCCATGACAACCTGGGCAAAAGCGGGTTTGAGGGGCACTTTGGCCTGGCTCGCCCCAGCGGTGAATGGAAGTTTGGTGGCGGTCATATCAACCCACCAACGGATGCTCCGTTCACTCGCCCTCCAACAACTTCTGCACCTCCTGCGCCTACCACATCATCCCCCCTACACCTACCCATCCTCCACCACCTCCACCTACAGCGACCCCCTCACTGGCTCCTCCTACCACCGCTCCCCCTGCTACGACCGCAACATCCCCCACAAACATCGCATGGCCCACTACTTCACTTGCACCAACCACAACAGCCCCGCCAATGACTGCACCAGCCACCAATGACGCCCTCTCAATGGCGCCACTCCCGACGAGCACGACGGCCACTGTAGCAGAGCTCCGCAATGAAGAAGGGCCCGCGTTTGCTCCTGGGACTAACACACCGCTGGAAACGCGACCAGCAGCAGCGACATTGCATTCCCGACCGCGCCTACTAACACCACGTTGGCTACGAACGCGACCGATTCAATTTCCATCAACGCAACTGGGGACGGAGGGAGCAATGGGGGTGACGCCGTTCTTCCTTCGGGCGTACAGGGCAATCAAATCCCGACAGACTCGATCAAGGAAACTAGTGTTCAAACGGCAAATGCTACCTCTGGCCTCGACGTCGGCGCGATCTCCGGTGCTGCGGTTGCCGGGCTAGCCGCGGCTGCCCTTGCGGTGCTCGCCGTCGTGCGGTATCGGCGCGCTGAATCTATTTGGGACAAGAACGAGCGCAAGAGCGACGAACGGTTAGAACTCGCGATGCTCAGCCGGCGCAGCGCAATTGTGATGTTGTAAAGTTACGTCATCTAAATTAATGAGAATTTTGTAGTGGTTGAGCGGTTTTCGCCCCGCGTGCAACACGAACAACCAGATAGGGGAGCGCCGCCTTCCGTGAATCACTG